TACAAGTATACCTTTCTGGTCAAAGAAATAGATATATACTGTTACAATTTTTTCTAATTGCCATTCTACCCGTGCGACTAATCAGCCTTGTAAGAAGCCTGAACAAGTTACTGTTCTGTAAATTGAAATAAATTGTTCAAAAACTATTTGTGCATCACCTCACAACTTGATGCAGTGAGTTGTTTCAAACCTATGTTGTTTGTGTCTTAAACACCTAATGTATAAGATTTTTAAAAATTTTCCCAAACACGCAATACAACATTTAATGTTAAACTGACATTATTTAAAGAATGTTTTTTCAAATTGTTTCAACGGAAAAACATTCAATAGGTGATGAAAAATGAAAATGCTGAACAAGAAGTGTTTAACTTAATTACAGAGCCATAGAGTCATTCTCTGCAGGTCTCCACTGGCCTCTAAAACAATGAGATTCTCCATGATTTTCTTGAATGGTGGAACATGCTTGTCAGGCTAAATGGCCTACTCTTGATCCTGGTTCATAGCTTTTTTTTTCATAGAATCCCTACAGTGTGGAAACAGGCCCTCTGGCCCTTCAAGTCCACACTGACCCGCACAGCATCCCACCCAGATCTATCCCCTTATGACCCACCTAATCTACACAACCCTGAATACTATGGGCAATTTAACATGGCCAATCAACCTAACCTGCACATCTTTGAACTGTGGGAGGAAACTGGAGCACTCGGAGGAAACCCACGCAGACGCAGGGAGAATGTGCAAACTCCATACAGACAGTCGCCCGAGGGTGGAATCAAACCCAGGTTCTGGGCGCTGTGAGGCACCAGTGCTAACCACTTGTATGCCCCATTGTATGTTCAGAATTAGTTAGGGAGAAATATAGACCCGCATCAATGTCATCGCAACCTGCTTATAAAGAGGAGTAACTATCCCACAGCACTCTTTCTCTCATCCAGGTCCTTTAAGGGATAAAAGGGATGCAAAAGGTTTTTACAGAGAAATAATTTCCTCTGATTAGAAAATCAAGCATGTACAATCTTAAAATTAGAGCACTCCATTTAGCAGTCAACTCATAAGGCACTTTAATCAGGAAGAAAATGTAATTTAAATCTGGATGCTTATGCCCTAGAAAGCTGTGGATACTGGAATAATTGTCATTTTCAAGAATTACATGAATAGACATTTTGTTAGGAAAGGTTATCAAGGTATTCAGGTAACATGAGTAAATAATGTTGAGGTACACATCAGCTACGATATCATTGAATTATGTAAAAGAATCGATGGGCTCGATGACCACTTGCTCCCAGGTTCCATCCCCAGCAGAAACATAACCTACTTTCATTCTTTCTCCAATGATAAACAGCAAAATGAAGAATTCAGTGGTACAGTAGTTTAAACTATTGTTTAATTCGCCCATTGAACCTCTTGTTGCCAAGCTTTCAGAATACTTTTTTAAAAAAATGTATTTGCAATTTATTCAAGAAATTTTAAAAACTAAATTACAGGATTAATTTCTCCAGTGAATCACAAGCACAATAAAAAAGGACAAGAGGACTAAAAATAATGAGACAGTTTGCATTTGTCTAGCACCTTTCACAGCATCAGCATATCCTAAAATGTTTTACAACTGAAGTGCTCTAATTTTGAAATATAAAGGAAGAATCATAGAATCCCTAGAGTGTGGAAACAGGTCAATTGACCCATTGAGTCAACACTGATCCTCGGAAGTGCATCCCACCTAGACCCACCCCTCTACCCTATGTCTGTAACCCTGCATTATCCATGGCTAATCCACCGAGCCTGCACATCTCTGGACATTATAGGCAATTTATCATAGCCAATCCACCTAACCTGCACATCTTTGGACAGTGGGACGAAATCATAGCACCCAGAGGAAACCTGTGCAGATACAGGGAGAACATGCAAACTCCACACAGACAGTCACCTGAGGGTGGAATCAAACCCAGATCCCTGGTGCTGTGAGGCAGCAATGCTAACCACTGAACCACCATGCCAACCCATTTTCTTTTAAAGAAAGGTAAGATAAAATATGAGCAGGGGTTAAAATCCTGAAATGCGGTGTGGAGCCTGGAACCCTACATAGTTCTACCAATTTCTGGATTTTGCAGGTGAGTGTACAATTTTCAGGCAGCTGTTGAAAAAGACATTATTGCAAACAGCTTTGAAAATAACCCTGAATTCTGACTTTAACGGCGAGTACAAGGGTATTCCAAACTCTCTCTAATGTTGTAGGGTCAATGAGGTGAGATGCCTGCAGGGAGTGATTATTTAGTGAAATTGAGCTGCCGAGAAGTATTTAAGGAGTGCAGTACATAGCTTGTGGCCATACACAGTGAAAGGCATGTGTTTGCAAAATCAGTTCTGAAGCCTGAAGGCACACACTTCTGTATGCTACAGCTGTAGAATAACTGCAATCTGCTGTGCCCTTCACAATCTCGCAAAGCAGGGAACATGAAGCTGCAGCAACAGGAAGCTACTAGGACACTCAGCATCTTCCAAGGAGAAGGAGAAAAAGCAAGAAGTGGCTATTTTGCCTGCAGCCACACACCTGGATGCCAGCTTCATCGAGGTACATTTCATGTCATGTACACATGAAGCTATCCAGGAAATCATGCCTACCATTTGTCTGCTTCTCCTGGACCTTCCTGCCTCCAATCTTCCCCACCTGACCCTGGACACAATTCATTCAAACAGTCAATGTTCTCACTCTTTTCTCCTTATAAAGGCTGATTCCACTATTTCAACTAAAGTGTTTGATTTACTTAAAAATAAACATCACCACAACATCTTTAAACTTGCTATACACACCCTTATGAGTCCTGCTGTGTAATTACCAAGTCTTTCTCATCCACTTCCTCTTATTTTAGATGGTGCAATCCTGTGGTTTCAGCTGAGCTGGAGGCAGGCTTTTCCTTTCCCTTCTCTGACAGATGTTTGCCTTTGAAGATATTCCCTGGGTTTGCCTGTGAGGACTCTGCCACAGAATGGCCCAGCTACACCTACGTATGTGATGAGGACTTGCTGTGTTGAGGGAGAAGAGTCTCTCCAGCTGTGGACACTTCCGCTTCCCTCCCAGGGTAGAACCTGTGAGCCAATTTGGCAAAACCTTGGTTGCATTTTAATGAACTGTGTGGCCACCAGGCTGCATCTTTACGAACCCTGTGTTGAGCGGCAGTCACAGTGTCAGGGCCAGTAAACACTTAGCGGCAGAGAGGAGGTGATATGATGGTGATATTGTCGCTGGACTAGTCATCCAGAGACTCGGGTCATGCTCGGGTGGATTTGAATCTCAGCATTACAGATGGTGGCTATGTAAATTTTAAGGGCTCTTCTTGCACAGTGGTAGTGTCTCTACATCTGAGTCAGAAGGTCAGGGTTCAAGTCCCACCACAGTGCTGGAGTTGTGTCATAACCTGTGGGAACAAGCTGGCTGAAATGACTAATAATCTTGGACAAAAGGTGGTCATCAGTGCCATCACTGTCCACACCCTCTTCCCTCAGTCCAGTTTATCTGCAGGCAACGTGACTCTTGCCAGGCACCCGTTCACACTTGTGGGTTGTTATCACCACCCCACCCACCCCTTCTGGCATTTAACCCGGAGACCCGGAAGCAGGGTGCTCCAGCATGGCCTGAATTCTTGAGTCTTTTCGAGAGTTAAATAGCCACAATGAAGGCCATTTCAATGACCAGTGGATTTCCAGTCCCTTACCATTCTCCACGCTGGGTGTGGGCCATCCAAAGTTAGCTTAGGAATGCTACAGCTTGTTTGCGCATGAAGTCTCACATGCAGCAATTAAATAAATGACCCCTGTGGTTCATTCAGCCATTGAACACCGGGGTGAACTCTTGCGTCTCCTCATAATATTTTATGCCCATGTGGTAGGTGGTGGCCAAATGTCTTCTAAAGCTCCACGTGGAAAACACAGCATCCTTTGATGCTGCAGTATACTTACATGCTTCCATTCTCTACAGTGGCGTTTGGGCCCACAACATTTTGCCTCAGTGACAATGAGAACAATTGATTTAGCCAAGGCTGACACCATGACCAACACCAACACCAACGAATTGGTGTTCATTATTGTGTATCAATGAGTGAATTCTAAGGAGCATAAGGAATAGGAGCAGCAGAAGGTCATTGAGCCTGCTCTGCCATTCAACAAAACCAGGGTTGATCTTTCTGTGGACTCAACTCCATTTACCTGCCCGCTCAAAGTAACCCTTAATTCCTTTACTGTTCAAAAATCCATCCATTCAATGAGGTAGCTTCAACTGCTTCACTGGGCAGGGAATTCCAGAGATTCACAACCCTTTGGGTGAAGAAGTTTCTCCTCAACTCAGTCCTAAATCTGCTCCCCCTTATTTTGAGGCTATGCCTTGGGAGGCGATGAGTATTGGTTTGAGAAGAAAGGCAAAATTATGTCAGTAGAGATAATGTAATCAATTTCCATCTTAAAGACGATCCGATGCAATTTGCTGCATCATTTGTTACAAGTTAGAAGAAAAAAGTTCACGACTTTAAGGATTTGGAGACGACTACGCTCACTTGAATTACTCAGGGACTGTCTTGAGTATATTAGCAGGCATAAAATGAAGAGCCACCAACAATTTCCACACCGTTTGGCTAATTTTGGTTATTCTTACGTGCGCCGAATTTGGTTTACTTTAGCGAGCTACAGTAATCGCGCCCTACAGAGTCCCCCATTTCTGAAGAAGGGTCGAGGCCCAAAACGTCAGCCTTCCTGCTCCTCTGATGCTGCTTGGCCTGCTGTGTTCATCCAACTGTACACCTTGTTATCTCAGAGTCCAGGCACACATGTGGACAGGGGCTGTAGACAATTGAATCTGAGGTTAGTGCGGTGTTCTGAGTGGGAACAGCTGCTCTTCTCCCACTTGTGTCTAGTTATGTCACCTCAGTCGCTAAGAAGGGGTCAAGGCGTTCCTTTCATCAGATTCTGAGTATGATGTGTCAGTGACTTGAGCCTTGTCGTCAGTTGAAAACCCCCCCGCGAAGAGCCACCTGCAGTGCATTTAAAATCATGAACTATCTTCCTGCAGTCCGGTCTGGGCTGGAGCCAGTGCTGAGCATAGGCTGTTTCTAGCTTGACCTGAAACATAGTGAAGTGGGCTTGCTGCGAAAGATGTTGGTCGACATTGCTTACCAAGCAGAAAGCGTAAGGCGCAAGGCGCAGCAGCATTTGCTAAATGTGACATGAACCTGGAGTGAGGGAGAGAGAGCGTTTAATTTGTTTCACGGAAATTTATTCGAGTTCCACCACTTTAGCGTTACAACTGAGTGCAACAACCGGTGTATGTGGGTTGTCAATGCATCAAATATGGCAGACTCTGTGTTTTTTGAGAAGCAGGTTACCTGTGGGGTAAGTGATTGCTTTTTGTGAAATTTCGTGAGTACTGATAATTTCTCGCTCTGCACCCTTTGCAGAGCTGGCTTGTTATTTGTGTGTTATTCTGCGTTGTGTTATGTCATTTGCCACTGTCATTAAAAGTTTGTTATTGCAAGACTACCTACAAGTTGCTCACACGCATGGTGTTCATTTCAGAACGAGTAGGGTGTTGGATATATGAATGATTGATCGACCACCTTCGCGTTGAAAGGGAGCAATCCGAGTAATTTAACGTCGTATGCTTTTCATTTCCTCTATGAGAGTGACGAACACTGCAGACTTCTGACATCTGCAGACTTCTGACATCAGAAAATTCTGCAACTATTCACATTTCCTGTAGCTTTTTTTAAAAAAAAACCCCAGATGCTGACAAGCCAGGCTTAGCTTTTGGGAACCAGGGCAGCCTGATGTATGATAGAACTCCCTTATTTGTGAGGGTCCTGGGTTGAGTTTAACAAATCCTTTTCTGTACACTCAGTCTCAAAATTTACCAAAGTGAACAGCAACAAGTAGGTCAAAACAAAAGTACCTTGAGGATATCCTGTTATCTTAAGTATCCACTCATTCCATCTTCTTTACTGTGTCTGCTATCTGTTTAATGGGACTGCAAGTCCAAAAAAAGCTTCAACCGAACCTAGGATTTTCATCACCTAAGACAGGGCCAGTAGAGGCATGGGAAGACCACCACCTCCTGATTCCCTGCTGAGTCATGCGGCATCTGCGCTTGACATATGTTGATATTCTTTCCGTGTTTTGGGTCAAAATCCTGGAACGCTGTACCTCACAGCCCTGTGCATGTGTCCACAACAAAGATTCAGAATGAATGCCCACCATCATCTCCTCTATAGCAACTGGGGATGGTTTGTAAATGCTGTTAACTTTCTTGTGATGCTCACATTCTGAAAATGATTGATTGAAAACAATCAGAAATCATCAGATAATCATTGCATTGGAATAAAACGTTGTGCCCAGACTAGGAGATATCAAGAACTGCAGATGCTAGAGTTAGAGACAATACAGCGTGGAGCTGGAGGAACACATCAGGCCGAGCAGGAAACTCAATGTTTCAGGTCAGGGCCCTTCTGCAGAAATGGGGGAGGGGGAAGGGAGCTGGGAAATAAATAGAGAGGAGTGGTGGGGCTGGGCAAAGGTAGGCGGGATGATAGATGGATGTAGGTAGGAAGTGGTGGGGATTGGCCGGTGAGATGGGTAGGGTGGATGGGTGGGGCAGCTAGGTGGAAGAGAAGATGGACAGATTGTGTCAGGTCAAGGTGGTGGGGATGAAAGGGAGGTTTGGATGTGGGATGAGGCCGGGGGGTACAGAGATTTTAAAACTGGTGAATTCCATGTTTAGGCCATCGGGCTGTAACCTCCTGAGGCAGAATATGAGGTGTTGCTCCTCCAGTTTGCAGGTGGTGTCATTTGTGATACTGGAGGAGGCCCAGGATGGACATGTCAACCAGGGAGTGGGAGGGGAAGTTAAAATGGTTGGTGACTGGAAGGTGTTATTGTTTGTCACATACAGAGCGCAGATGCTCTACAAAATGGTCTCTGAGTCTAAGCTTGGTCTCGCTGATGTAGAGGAGGCCATATGGGGAGCAGCGGATACAGGAGACCAAGTTGGAGGATGTGCAGGTGAACCACTGTCAGATATGAAAACTTTGCTTTGGGCCTTTAATGGAGGTGAGGGGTGAGTTGTAGCAGGACGTGTAGCACTTCCTGCGGCTGCAGAGAAAGGTGCCGGGAGTGGTGGCGTTAGTGGGGAGTGTGGAGTGGACAAGGGTGTCGTGGAGTGAGCAGTTCCTATGAAAGGCAGATATGGGTGGGGAGGGAAATATTTCTTTGGTTGTGGGGTCAGATTGTAGGTGGCGGAAGTGAGACCAAGTGCAGGCTCGGAGGACCGTTTCGTGGAGCATCTATGCTCTGTACACGACAAATGACAACACCTTCCAGTCGCCAACCATTTTAACTCCCCCTCCCACTCCCTGGGTGACATGTCCATCCTGGGCTGCCTCTAGTGCCACAATGATGCCACACGCAAACTGAAGGAGCAGCACCTCACATTCCGCCTTAGGAGCCTCCAGTCCAATGGCCTAAATGTTTTAAAATCTCCCCACCCCCAGCCTAATCCCATGTCCAAATCTCCCTCTCATCCCTGCCTCCTTGACCTGACACAACCTGTCCATCTTCTTCCTCAACTTTCCACCCTACCTGCATCCACCTATCACCATCCCACCTACCTTCCCCAGCCCACTCTTCCACTCTCTATTTATTTCCCAGCTCCCTTCCCCCTCCCCATTTCTGATGGGTCCTGACCTGAAACGTCAGCTTTCCTGCTTCTCTGATGCTGCCTGGCCTGCTGTGTTACTCCAGCTCCACAATGTACCCAGACTAACTGATTAGCGACATAGGATACATTACACACTTCATCCTAAAGTGCTCATGTGAACAGACTTTAAAAATACGTTTTTTTTCTGGCAGTAATGACCTGTAGTGATGAAAGGAATGGGCTAAATCTCCCCCTGACCCTTTGTGGCATGTCATGCTGCAGTTTTTCAACATTCAATTTACTGCCTTACGAATAAAAAAGAACAACTTTTTTAAAAAAAAAAAGCTCTGTTGCCAAGGAAATGCCTGATAGCGTACAGTGCTTTAAGTGAATGGAACCTATTCAGAACAACTCCGCTGCAAGTTTTGTTTATGAAATAATCCCAACATGTCTCTGTTTTATGCATTCACACTCTCCAGTGCTCACCTGAATTGAAATGTACAGTAACTTGGCTAACCTCAAATATTCTGATTACAATCATCCATCTAGTGTTTTATATGGACACTTTAACATGGATGTCTGCCAATCCATGTCATTTTGGCAGTTTAGCTTTGCTCAGTGGCTTCTGTTGTGGAGTTTATGCTTGGGTTTACGGGTTACAGTTGGACTAAAGTGCTCCATGCTCTCCATTATTATCAACAGTTTGATACATGGAGTAATAACCTCCTTTTCCCTTGTAGAGTGCTGATAACATTTCTTCCATCACTTAAACGGTGCAAGCAGCAAAGATATAAACATACAATGTTGATTTCTTTTTTTGAGCAAGATGCAGTCAGTGGTGCTGCTCACTTTAGAGTGCTTACTAAATGCATTGATTCTGTGAACCATCCTGGGCTCCATTAGAAATATATTTATTGGGGTCCAATTTGTCTGCAACAAGCCGTCAGTTACAAAATATTAAATCTGAGATATGGAAACAAATATTGGTCTAGTGTCACTCTTCCCAGACTGTACATAGGTAGTAGTGATATCAAAAAAGGAAAACTTCTTTAAATGACGTAAAACTACAAATATTGACATTCAGATAGACTTGGGAATATGCATACAAGGAATACAGAAAAATAGCATGCAGATACATCTAGCAATTAGGAAAGGCAATGGAATGTTTGCCCTTATTGCAAGAATAAGGATGGCCTGCTATAATTGTATAGGGCTTCAGTGAAACCATACCTGGAGTACTATATGCAGTTTTGGTTTCCATACCTAGGAAAGGATGGATATTTTCTATTCAGCATTTCCAAGATGTTATTACACAGACTCTGGAGCAGTTACTACTTAAATCCAGGCCTCTTTGCTCAGAGATAAGGACATTACCTCTGCCCCAAAACAGCTTGCCCTATGAAATGATAGTCTTAACTGCGAAGCAATGCAGCAACAGTTTACTAGATTGGTTCCTGAAATGAGGGAGTTCTTCCATGAAGAGAGACTGAGTAATTTGAACCTATATTTTCTGAAGTTTAGAAGAATAAAATATGGTCTCATTGAAACATGCAGGACTATAAAGGGATGGATATCAAGAGGTTGTTTCCCTTGGTGGGAAACCAAGAACAGAGGGGTACAGTGTTGGGTAAAGGATTAATCACTTTAGACTCGATGAGGGGAAACTTCTACTCAGACAGCTGTAAATATTTTTGGAATTATCTACCTTAGATGCTCCATTGTTAAGTATATTGACAATTGACATCAGTAGAGTTATATAGAACCTTTCTAACGTAATGAAACTTCCCAGTCTGTTCACTAGAATGTAATAAAGACAGAGGCACACAAGGATCTATTTTAGGAAAGGTAATTTAGATGAAAGTTTCTTGAAAAACTGATGGCAGCAGTAGATTTTAAGGACGTCCTAAAAGAGGTAAGTGGGATAGAGAGGTTTGATGAGACAATTCGAGTTTAGTGAGTGCCAAGACAACTAAAGGCATGGTGGCCAATGGTGGAGTGACAAAAAAAGTCAATGAAATCAAAAGACTGCAGATGTAGTAATCTGAAATAAAAACTGAAAATACTCAGCAGATGTGGCAGCGTTTGTGGAGAAAGCAAGAGGATGTTTCAAGTCAAACTTCAGAAGAAGTTGTTATATTCAGTGCAAAATGTTAATTCTGTCTTTCTCTTTACAGATGCTGTCAGAATTGCAGAGTTTTCAGAGGGTTGAAAGGTTGATTGAGGCTATGAGATGCCAGGTCATAGAGAGGTTTGAAACAGATGTGAGAATGAGAATCAAGTGTTGGCTAGACTGACAATGTACATCAGCAAGCATAGCAGTAACAGATGAATGAGATTTGGTGTCAACTAGGATAGAAGGGGCAGATTTTGAATTAACTTTTATACTTACGGAGAGTGCAGGCCAAAGGAGCCTGGCAAATATTTAACTTGGAGATACCAAGGGTATAGATAAAGCTTTGAAATAAGGAAGCTACAGGCATGAATTATTTGTTTGCTGTGCATGCTTTCTACAAGATGCATTAAAACTGAGGCTGCTGCAGAGTTTGAATAACATGTCAACATTTACTATCCAGACATAACATGGCAATATGGATAAACTACTATATGATGGCTGGCACTCTTGAAATTATAGAACAGTGAGATGTGTTCCCAGCGTGCAGCCTCACTCCACAACTAGTAGCTAGCATTTTAGTGTAAGTTATGT